TTAATCCTGTGCTTTGCTCCTGTCTTACTAAAACCACCTTTGTGACTGATCTCAAACACTTTCTAAAATGCAGATCCCTAGCCAATATTTTGCTTTGCTGTTTGGCTTTTGCGTTTTCCCCTCCCTTCAGCCGATGAGAAGAGGCGAAGGCAGATTCCCTGCTGCTCTCTGCCTGGCTCCTGCGAGGGTCCCTCACACCACAGCCCTTCCTCCAGGCTCGCAAACCTTGGCTACGTCTTAGAACTCATTATTAAACCTCCGTGTGAAGACGTGGGGTTCGACGCTGTGCCGTGTACTAGAACATTCACCAGAGAGTAGAAGAGTTTATTGCACGGAGCAGGAATTCCTCCCCGGTGTAGTCACAAAGGCTTTGAACTATCGGTGAGGAGCTCATTGCTCACACAGCCTGGGGCTATCTGCAGTTGGAAGAGGCGGTCTCTAAAAGCAGGCAAGCCATCTGGTGCGGACCTCCAGTTTCATATTTCAGGGGATGAACTCCTGCAGAGTTCACTCACGGCTGCTTTTGCAAAAGCCTCCAACTCTGCAGAATTGGGCGTCTGATACCCCTAAGTTAAACATGTGGTTTTTCCTTGTGCCCCTCCATTGAGAGGCCTTTTTCCTGCTGTTTGGAGAGGAGTAGGATTGCACACTGAGCTGGAGAAATCATGGTCAAATGTTCATTTTCTGTGTCTTCCCTTCTTTTGGTGCCCAATTTGAAATACATTGGATCTCACTTTCTGGGGTGCCGAGTCCCTTCCGTATGAGTTTGGTGGAAGGTGCAAATGCCATAACCATCAGCGTGCTCAAAGCTAGTGCTTTCGTAGAAAAGCTTTGCTGAATCTTGTTGCAGCCATTTAAAGCACTGTCTGGGCCTGTTGGCCACGTCTCTTCTAGCAACGCGACGCAAGTCAGCGGAAGGGATGTTCACCTGTATCTCTGCCGCAGTGCGGTGCTCAGTTACTTAGGCTGAACCGATGGTGCGGGAGGGTTTGCACATGGGTGCTGGGCTGTGGTTGTGCTAGCTGAGGCCCAGCTCGTGTTCCCTTCTGCTATGAGGGGCAGAAACTCCAGCAGATGTGTAGGGCAGGCAACGGGGAGCAGTAGCTGTTGCAGCAATATGTACCAGCGCTTGTCTGTCAAAGCTCTTTTGAGACCATTTTCATAGAATCATAGAATATCTCAAATTGGAAGGGACCTATAAGGATCATCGAGCCCTACTTCCAAGAGGGAGTCGTTCATCTTTGGTTGAAGATGTTCATCTTTGATTGACTCGTTGGAAGTCCTGGAGGGAACTAGTGTGAGTGCCAGGCTTAGGATTGCAGAATTCTCGGTGGCCAGCACGTATGTGAGCCACAGTTCAAGGTTTTGCGTCTCTCCCAACCCTGCTTCTGCCTCGTGTCTCCTCATCTGCGAAGGGAGAAACGTGCATTTGGTGCAGGTGTTGGAGTGGGACTTCACTGGCTCCGTCCTGCTGCTGCTTTTTGCTTCGTTGGTTTTTAACCAACATGCGCGGAATGCACAATCAGCATCTTGGAGAAGCAGTGGTAGGAAAGAGGAAGCTCATGCAGAATATAAATAGCCAAATTTTAAAATGTACCAGTGTAGCAGCTTGCCTGGCTCTTGGCATGAGCCTGGCTGAAGACCACTGGGAAGCTGTGTACTGGTTTCAAAGGGGGAACTTTGGGGAATATTGCACAAGTCAGCGAGAAAAAAAATGAATGAACTGACAGTCTTGAATATAGGAACTGAAATTTGCTTTTACGCACGTCAAAATTGGGTGTATCCTCTGCACGTGACACGAAATACAGAGTGAAACCCCTGCACAGTTATGGCAATACTTTCCACTGTAGTTGCACAGAGGCTGCCAATGATTCATGGATTGATCCTGGGACGTTTTGTCCTCCCATATGATTTGATTTCTATATTAATTTAATTGTATCTCAACAAGCACCTCATTTTTCTTGATATTTGTGTCCGGGGTTTACAGCTGCCCAGCCCAATCTGTTTTCTGAGTCTGGTACAGGAGTCTGGTCCTGCTGGACCCAGAGCTTTCCTCCAGCCCAAAGACAGCGTAACTGGAAGATACGCAGGGTAGGGCTGATCTGCAAGTTGGGTGATAAAGACTGGGAGAGCTGATGTGAAGCACCGTTGGTAGTGATCCCCCTTCTCTGTTACTGCCCCTTGATTTGTGCACCCAAGAGGCATCTACTGCTGTCGCTTCTGGAGGACAGCACGTATGTGTGCGCACCAGGGTCTGGTGGTCTCCATGGACAAGCTGTTCCTGCAGCTTTTCTTCCTTTTTGTTGGAAACGGCATCTAGAGGTGGAAGAAGGACGACTCTGCTGACCTGGGTAGCATCACTGCAGGTGGCTGATCTAGAGTGGACGTGGGGCTTTAGCAGTGCCGGCAGCTCTCTCCTGGGGTTGTGCCGGTGCCCCTGATTCCCAGCGATGGTGACTCTGCTTGTGGGGTTGGGGGGCACTCACCTGGCACAGGAGCACCTCATTCCTGTGAGCTTTTAGTGGAGAGATGGAGAGGTGATGGGGGAGAAGCCCAGCTTGCTTGGCTGCCGGTGGCCTTAGCTGCGTACCGTAGAATCATAGAATCATAGAATCGTTTAGGTTGGAAAAGACCTTTAAGATCATCTAGTCCAACCATTAACCTACACTACCAAGTCTACTCTAAGCCAATCAAGGGTAGACTAGACTAAACCGTGTCCCGAAGTGCCACATCTACCTGTTTTTTGAACACTTCCAGGGATGGTGACTCCACCAGCTCACCTTCTCCTCGCTGGCACGCTTTAATGGCTTCGTCTTCCTCACGCCAGGGCCAATGTCATGGGTGGCCGCTCTGGCGGGGCTCCCAGCGTGGACGTGACACTGCAGAGGAGCGGGGAGTCAGGGTGGGCTCAGAAGCTTGTTCGTGCCCCTCTTGGTGTTCAGGCTGGGTGGTGCGAACCATTGGGGCTGGGGCTGCCAGCCTGCCCGGGCCGGCAAAGCTGGGGGGAAGCTGGGCTCGGATCTGTGCCACCCGCAGCAGCCAGCCTCGTCAGCCTGGGGGATTTATCGAGGCAGGAGGAAGATGGATTTTCATGTCACGCTGTCTAGGAGGGCGCAGGGTACGCCATGCTGGTGAGCGAGAGCCTTTTCCATTCTTGGAAATTCAGACCTTTTTATACCGGAACATAAATTTATGCTGTAATTTATCCCAGAGCATAGAACAAGAGGGGGACTAACACAGGTGTCCAGGAGGACGTCTGTCTGTCCGCTGCCTTCTGCAGGTGCTGTCAGGGTTGGTCTGGAAGCCAGTGAATCCTGGGAGAGACTTCTGATGTTCACAGCACAGCTGAGGTTAGGAGCCTCTCATCCCCTCGAGCTTCAGCAAACCAAACCTCTTGATAGTCTGGCATGAAGTGAGAGAAGAGCAGGAAAGCGAGGAAGAAGTCCGATAACCCTGCCCAGGGGGATTTTCTGTCCTCATTCATTACAACCATGAATGAGAGGCTTTTTAAAGTTTTCCCCCTGCTCTTTGAGCTGGCTGTGGTTCCCTGCTTTAATTCCTTGCTAATAACAAGCACTTGAGTTGAGCAAGGTGTGATGACAGCGCAGTGACCGCTGCTGTAATGGTGGTTAAAGAGCATGTTAGGTGCACGTCCGATACGTCAGCTCAGGGTCACGTTCGGCACTTTCTGCTCGGTGTCTCTCGAGATGTGCGGCATCGTCTGAGGCTGGGGCCCTGGGTACGGCTGTTCTCATGTTCACGGGGAGCGATTTGGGAGGAGGACTTTTTGCAGGGAGCAGCAAGCGCTCCTGGGGCTCCATCCCGGGTTGCCCCATGGCAGCTTCCAGCTTCCTCCCTGGCAAGCCCTGCATTTTTGCCATTACTCGGGGTTTTTTGTACTCCTGAGAGGCAGATTGCAGGGAAAGCCGCGGGCTGGCTCTGGCTGGCAGTGTGATACGCAGGGAGGACTTCTCCCCGAGCCCCTGCACCCCAGCGTGTGGTCACCTCCCCCTGCTAACCGGCTTACCGCTTTCAGGCATTTTCCCCATCTGCTGAGCAGTGGGTTTTGCCGCGTGGTACACCGTGTCCCGCCATTTGGCATGGGACACGGAGGGCGGGAGAGATCCCTGCGGTGTTTAAAAGGATCTGGATAAATCCTCTTAAGAAAGGTGCTGACTCAGCAGAGGGTGGTGAGAGAGGAGGAGGAGGAGGAGGGAACCAAATTGTCCTTGTGGGGCCGGAGCCGCCGCCGAGTCCCACGCTGGCACATGGGGCTGGGGATGCTGGGGCAGGTGCGTGCCTGGGGACCTGCCCCAAGAAGCATCCCCTCTTTCCTTGCCGAATTTTAGGTGGTCTCCATCTCCCCAGAGCAGAAACGTGAGCCTCATAGCTGGGTCAGGCTGTGGCCCGGAGGTGCCTGTCCCCAGGGGTGCAGGGACCTGTCCCAGCTGTGCCCGAGCCCACCCTGGTGCCACTCCCTGGTGTTTCCTCCAGCTTTGAGCTCCCCCCTTGAGTTTCTGCCTTGTGTGCGTGGCCAGCGCTGCGGAAGCTCGTGGGCTGCTTGGTTTCACGGTTATTATTTATTACCGAAGGTGCGCCGAGGTGCTCAGTTCCCACAGGGGCAGATTACTGAGATTACGGTCAGACCAAGTGGCAGTGTCACCTTATGGGAAAGGCAAAGGCTTGGGGAGGGGGACGCAGCCGGGGCTGGGTCCGGAAGGTGGCTGCCCCCCCCCCCCCCCACTGCCTGGTGAGGGGTCCCCGCTCTGCCCGGCACCTGGCACTGGTGCAGCCTCAGTTTGCAGAAGGGCTGAGATGCAGAGGCAGGGGACATGGAGCAGACCGAGAGCAACTTCCTAAAGTCTTGCCTCTGCCTGTGTGCAGGCTCAGGTGGGCCCAGGGTTAAGCTGGCCAGGAGGGCTGGTGTCGCCCGGTTTGCATTTCTGAGCAGGCGAGGGAGACTCTTGCCGCCTGCCGGCTGTTGCCTTTGGCTTGCTGAGATGCCTCGTACGAGCCCGCAAGAGCATCTCTGCCACGCTTCACCCTCCTTATCTCACGGTGTATCTTGTCCTCCCGTGCAGAGCTCCACCCAGGAGATCGGAGAAGAGCTGGAGGATGGTGTGATCTACAGCATATCGCTCCGGAAAGTGCAGCTCCATCACACAGCCAACAAAGGGCAGCGATGGCTGGGGGTAAGCTGGGGGCTCCGCCAGCCTCCTCCCACGGGGTGTTTTCAGATGTTTCTCTGCCAGAGACATGGTGACCAGATGTCAGGGCTTGGCAGGGTCGAGACCAGCCCATGTCCTGCCCTCTTCTTGCTCATCCGTGCACTCCTGTCCAGGGGGCTCTTTCCGAGCCTTGTCTGGGAATTATGTATTTATTTGGGAGCGGGGTGTGGGAGCACCCGCTGCCCTCTGCCCTGCAGCAAGGGGCACGGGGGAAACAATCTGAAGGCCCATTTTGCAAAATAGGGGAACCCTGATTTGCACCTAGATGTTGGCAACCTAGATGTTGGCAACCAATCCCTTTCCTGGGATTTCCCAAATGCTCAAGTCTTCTCAGCTGAGTTGCTGGTATTTGGTGTTGGACAAGACCCGGCTTCCCTTTCCCCAGGCCCATCACGAGAGCCCCAGACACTGTAGGGTGGCCGTGGTCTCAGGCTAGACCCAAAAGCAGCTTGCGAAGTTGGTGGGACCGCATTGTGCTTGAACGTGTCTGCCTTCATCCAGCCCACTGACTTGTACTCTTGCCCCGGCAGTTTGAGAATGAGTCGGCCTTAAACCTCTACGAGACGTGTAAGGTGCGGACAATAAAAGCTGGGACCTTGGAGAAGCTGGTGGAGTACCTGGTCTCAGCCTTCAAGGGCAATGACTCCACCTATGTCACCATCTTCCTGTGCACTTACCGGGCCTTCGCCACCACCAAGCAAGTGCTGGACCTACTGCTTAACAGGTGAGGCTGCCCTGAGCCCCGAAACGCAGCTGGGGGTGGCCGGTGTCTGAGCCCTCTTGGCCAGGAGAGCCCCAGAATCTTCTGCTGCCATGCCTTGGAGGGCTGATGGGCTTCTCCCAACCCCATCAGCATGAAAGTTTTGGGGCAGGGCAGGGAGGACATGACTACCCAGTGAGCTGGAGCCCTTCCAGCTGGTTCCCTGCTGCGAGGCGGCCAGTGCTTCCCTCTCCCCATAACGCAGGGGCTGTGGCGGAGTAGGGGGAGCAGGGCAGTGCATGAGAGGTTCATCCCAACCCCCTGGCAGAACTGGGGGTGATGTGGAGGGAGAAGAGGCAGCCCTGAGACACAGCTGAGTCCAGGATGCTCACTGCCTCCTCGCTGTGCCCCACCAGGTACGGCAAACTCCATGTGCAGGCGAATGGGGACCATGCCAGGCACGCTGTGGATGAGAGGATGGAGCTGAAGAAGTAAGTCTGACTCTGCTGTGGGTGAACAAGATGGGTGGCTCTGGTGATAGCTCTTTGGCTCTCGTACAAAGGCACGCGTTGTCCCAGGGGTGCTCCTGGTGCCTGGGGCTCACAGGGGGGTGCACACAGGTTTCTCCTGGCACCCAGTTCTCACACCGGTTTGCCTGTATTTCCCCCCTCCCTGCAGCACTATCTCCTCCATCCTGGGTGCCTGGCTGGACCAATACTCGGAGGACTTCCGCAAGCCCCCGGACTTCGCCTGCCTCAAGCAGCTCATCTCCTACGTGTGCCACAACATCCCCGGCTCGGACCTGGAGCGCCGAGCCCGCATCCTGCTGGCCCAGTTCCAGCAGCAAGAGCAGAGCGAGTCCGAGGCAGAAGGTGGGGTCCTTTCCCGGCTTGTGGGGGGTCCTTTGGGGCTGCAGGTGGAGAGAGTGCTACTGGTTGGCATCGAGGGTCTCCAAAACCTTGGGTCTTGCCACGAGCCATAAAGGCTGCCTGCGTTTACGTGGAGGCATACTGGGAAGCTAATCCAACTGCACCAGAAGTGGGATTTCTAAAGGGGATTAGCTAATCTGCCTTTAATCCTCTGCAGACACTTGCATCCAAGTTTAAAATGACTCCTTTTATCTGAGCCTCGTTTCTCGAGGCGTGAAGCCAGATGGGAATTAAGAGCCTGGGAGGAGGGATGTGGGTGTCCGCAGGGGGCTGGCATGGGTCGGCGTGGGCCCCGGCTCGCAGCGGTGCTCAGCTTCGCGCCGTCTCTCACAGCTGTGGACCATGGCGGCTGCACCTTCCAGCTGGTGGAGGAGAACGGGGTCGGGGATGGGAAGCCGGATTTCCTCTCCTTCTCCCCAGAGATGGTGGCAGAACAGTTCACGCTGATGGATGCTGTGAGTATTCATTCAACAGCCAGGTCGCTGGTGCTCTGCCCGTCTACTGCCTGCTGCTCTGGGCACAGGCCTGGCTCTTCCACCTCTTCCTCCTGGCCTGTTCCCTTCCCAGGAACCCCAAAGAGACCCATCTCCATCCCTGTATCTTCCAGGAGCTGTTTAAGAAAGTGGTGCCTTACCACTGCCTGGGCTGCATCTGGTCCCAGCGAGACAAGAAGGGCAAAGAGCACCTGGCTCCCACCATCCGTGCCACGGTCTCGCAGTTCAATAGCGTGGCCAACTGTGTCATTGCCACGTGTCTCGGAGACCGGTCCCTGAAGCCGCAGCAGAGGGCTAAAGTGGTGGAGCGGTGGATTGAAGTGGCTCGGGTAGGACAGCTCGCCATCCCGCTCACCTCCCACCTCGGCCCAAGGGCTGAAGTTTTACTGTGTGCGAATCCCAGCACATCCCTGGGCTTTCTTTAACACTGAGTCCTGTCATCTCCTTGTCTGTCCCCAGGAGTGCCGCATCCTGAAGAACTTCTCCTCCCTCCGAGCCATCCTCTCGGCTCTGCAGTGCAATGCCATTCACCGGCTGAAGAAGACCTGGGATGAAGTCCTACGGTAAGCGGTGCCTGCTGGGCTCCTGCGGCCGTGGGTGGGTTTTAAGGGGGAGGTTGTGCTGTGGCTGTGGCCCTTGAATGTGTAGGTGGGATCATCTCAGCTCCAGCATCACCTCTTGGAGTGTGCCCAAAACCCAGGGATGAGCGTAAGGTGTCAGGGACCTAAGGAGGGTGAGGAAATAAAAGCACCATCAATCACCTCCTCCTCCTTTCCACCCGAAACACCCTGGAATTGCCCCCAAACAGCAAGGCCCTGCTAGAGCTGTGAGCATTGCGGGGGTCCAGCAGGTGAGCAGAAGAAAGCCCAAGAAGGAGACCCCAGGGTGGCATTGCTGACTTCCCCCCATTTCTCTCTGAGCAGGGAGAGCTTCCGCACTTTCCACGAGCTCTCCGAGATCTTCTCCGATGAGAACAACCACTCGCTGAGCCGGGAGCTTCTCATCAAGGTATGGGGAAGCGGCACCCGCGTCGCCCTGTCTCTGGCAGGGAGCTCGGGCTGATGCTGGCAGAAGTTTCCACGGTGGTTCAGCCACCAGGCTAAAGCCCTGGCAGTGCTGCCGGGGTTGCAGGCGCGGGTGCAGGCAGGGCCTGCTGAGTCTGAGGAGCAGGCAGGGGTTTTGGACCAGGCTGGGCTTTCTGCTTCTCCCAAAAGTCGTCATTGCTTGAAGCTTGCAGAGCAATTCAGTAAGCAGAGATAAGCAGTGGGATAGGATCCAGTGCACCAGGCGACGGCTTCTCCCCAGAGGCTGCTGCATTTTAACAGCCCGGTGCAAAGTCCTCTTGATTTCAGGTGGGGTTTTAGGGTTTGTGAAAGGCTGCAGCAAAAATGTCCTCCCTCCCCGTGGAGCCTCTCTGCAGCTTCCCAGCCTAGCTCCAGTCTGGGGGCTGAGAGGACACAAAATGCAAAGGGGAACAAAACATCCCATTGAGGAGCTATTTATACAGAGCTGGAAATGGGAGCAGCAGTTTCTATTCACTAAGCCTTTCCTCCCTGTGAGCCACGAAAAAGCTCAGCTGTGGTTTCCTCCTCTTCCCCTCATCCCTCTCTCCCTCTACAAGGAAAGTTGTACCGATAAAAGCAGGGGTGAATTCTAGCTCATCTATTAGCGCAGTTTCCCACCTGTGCTGATCCCCACCTCTCCCCACCATCCAGGAGGGCACGTCCAAATTTGCCACCTTGGAGATCAACCCAAAGAGGGCTCAGAAGCGGCAGCAGCAGCAGCGAGAGATGGTGAGTCTGGCACGGCTGCCCCCGTGCCCCCGTCCCCAGCGGCTGCCCGGGCTGGTCCCAGCTCTGATCACCCCGCTGTCCCCGCAGGGCGTGATGCAGGGCACCATTCCCTACCTTGGCACCTTCCTCACGGACCTGGTGATGCTCGACACCGCCATGAAGGATTTCCTGGACGTATGTACCTCCTCTGTCTCTATCCTCTCCTTCCGCCACACAGCCGCCCCAGAGCCTGGGCTGATAAATGGAGGGCTGGTCCCCCACGCGTCCTATATGGGACACTGCACCCTCTGCATCCTATATCCGACATAGCATCTTCTGCATCCTATATCCAACGTTGCACCCTCTGCATCCTATATCCAATGTTGCACCCTGTGCGTCCTATATCTGACTGTCATGGTTTAGCCCCCCTATATCTGACGTAGCACCCTGTGCATCCTATATCTGACTGTCATGGTTTAGCCCCAGCCAGCAACTAAGCACCACTCGCTCACTCCCCCTACCCCAATGGGATGGGGGAGAGAATCGGACGAGTAAGAGTGAGAAACACTCCTGCGTTGAGATAAGAACAGTTTAATAATTGAAATAAAGTAAAACAGTAATGATAATAATA